GCATTAATAGAAATTGTATCAATAATTACTTTTCTTACTGACATGGTCAATTCTTGATTTCCTATGGTAATACAGAACAGGAGTGGCTAAATACTCCCCAATTACTGAGATTAATATATACATTATTTGAATATATTTATCAAATCTATCACTTTTTTTAGACTTACTGAGTTATTTTTCTAAACGAGTACTAAAAGCTTGATTTCTGAATATATACCAACTATTACCAGAAAGATTCTAATACCTCAATCACAAGCATACAACTATGAGACCACTACACTGAAAGTATCATCTTTCATGATCTTTTAATATGTTAGAGCTTATATCCATCTTTTCTTTCATACACTTACTACTTGACTTTATTTTAAATGATGGCAAGATATACTGCTTCCTCAAACATGTTTCTCCTTGCCAAATTCTGTAATACTGCTTACACGGGACAAAGTCTTTTTCGTTGCTGTAAGGTTTAATTTTGCCTTTTCCACTTTCCAATGCTGTTCCATCATCTAATACATCTCTCATCCTAAACATCTTTGCCCCCACAAGGTTTCAGCTCCTTAAATCACTAATGATCAATGCCCTCAATGTCCTTTTCTTAAATAATTAGCCTTTTTTTCTGGTCCACTCTACTAATCTGGCCATGTTTTAAAAATATATCCTTATTTTTATTAAATGAATCCAGCAGGATATCTTTAATTTCTCACTAAAAACCAAGTATAAAGCATGACATTACAAATGATTCCATCTATTCTAATCAATGTGATACATGCTGGCAAAAACCTGGATAGGAAATAGAGGTAATTTCCCTAAAGATTTACCAACTGATGTCGGTCTTTATCTGCAAAGGTTGGACCTGGTCACATTGTTTACTAGACTGACTGTAGGTAAATCTTCACGATGAACATGAGTTACTTCATAATCAAACATGCATTACTTACATCAGAACTTACATCCTGGACTCTTAAGAACAAAAAAGGTTTACAATATTGAAAAGATGATGGGATATTATCTAAAATGCTGATCCTCTTGGTGTTTCTGTTTCTGTTTTTCTATAAATAGATGTTCTTTCTGACAAAAATACTGAGAAAGTTCTTTAGGCAAAATATCAGTTCCTGATACTAAATCAAAATAGTTCTACTATTTAATTCTAAACTATAAATAACATAAAATGTAGATGTTTATATTAAGAGAATATGCTTTTATCAAAAAGAAAAATTAATTGGCTTTGACTCTAACCACATCATCAGCTGTAAAGTTATCTTAGTTTAGTTTCTTTAAACACTACAAACTATATCCATATATAAAATTACTTAAAAAGGAAAAATATATTCTTATGTGGAAAGGGAAGGAGGAAAGCTTATGAAAGCTGTTAATCCCCCCAAAATCTGCTCTTGTCAAATGCTGGAACACTTCTAGAATTATAAATAAAAATGTTAACAATTATACTTTTATAGTATTTATAGAACACTAAATAAATTATATTCAAAACTAAACTGAAGTTTAAATGTACTTTAAGATTATCAAACTAGTCATTTAATACTTATACATTTAACAATTAATATGTCTTTAATCATAAAGTTAATGCCTGTCATTTACCTGATATAAAAAAACTGTCCAAAATGAAATAAATATAATTTAAAATTACCATTCTGAAAGTTAATCACCAAACAAAAGTCATTCATAATTTATTTGTGATTTCTATGGGTTTGATTAATTCATTTTCATTAACACATTTTTGTATTTACATTTCCACGGAAATTATGAAAGTTTCACATATGTAATGCAAAATGTATCTGTGTAACTGAATTGACATTAAACCTATTTAATCTAGAACACGTCTAAAAACTTCACTGAGCTGCCATAATTTTTGTCAGCATATGTAGTACTGAATGACCATTAAAATACCTGAATTGAAACTATTCCAGTCTAGCAGTTTGTAAGATCTCGTGTTACCCATAATTCCGACAAAGGCTGAGTTCAAAACAGCAAATTAGTAGATCAGTTTTAGGTGCAGAATAGTAGGAAAAAAACAAAAAACACTACAAATAAGAACACAATTGACAACACCACTCAACAGGAACTGGAAAGACACAGACAGCAGAGTTAACAAGAAGAAGAAATAGAAAGAGAAGAAGGAACATGCTATCATAATCTAACATTAACTCAAGTCTAATTATTTCAGATAATTACCTTGACTTTCAAAACCACCCCATTCTTTCTCTTACGGTATGACCCTGTTTGCTTAATATTTTAAAAGGAAGAAGTTCTAAAAGAAATAACTCCAAAATAATTACTCATAGAGTCAGCAGGTGGTAGTGGCTTTAAAATGAGACTTTTTCTTCTACACTCAGTGTGAAATGAAAATTTCCCATATTTGCTAGTCATAAAACAGCAGCAAGATTCCTTTGAGGGTGCAAATACAGCACTTTTGATATTAGCACATGCATCTCAATCCACCTTAAGTTTCTCTTGGTAGAGTAATTTAGTGACATAAAATCAATACATCATCATTACAGTAGTTGTTAACTGAGTTTTAACATTCAGCTTTTCTCAACAAATTAAAAATTTTCATAAATAATTATTTAAGGGGCCTGGAGATTAATAAAATGTTAAGCAAATGTTCCTTTTTAATGCATTTTATATATATATATATATATATAAATCCAAAAAAGGTGATAATTATATCAAAATAATGTAATATCTGGGCTGTTAGCATATATAATTGATTTGTATTTAACTGAAAATGAAACAAAATTGAAATATAACTTATATACCATTAAAAATGTGTACGTATATGCCCATAATCTTCTGGGAAATAGTCCATTAGTAACTGAGGATTTCTACATGTGAACTGAAAAAAACAGTCTGACAGGGGAGGAAAGGAAGAGAATGGATGAGCTGCAGTGCGATATACAAAACTCATTCTTCCCTGGGCCTGGATTCTTACATTTCTTACACAGCCAGAATAAACTGGCAAGTAGGGAAAACCCCCCAAAGAAGGGGGTTTTCGTAAAAAGTAATACAATTTTAAATATGGCTCTTAAATTTACTCAAGTAACCTCTGTTCTCCCAGACTCTATAGCTTACTTACTCAGAGTACATGGAAGCAAGAATGGAATCAAAATGTTTACAGTAAATGGAAAACATCACCAGCAACTGAATGTATTCCTGAAACCATTTTTAGAGCAATTAGATCCACAGATGGGTGCCATCTATCAAAATATTTGAGTCAATGGTCAACAAAAACACAGGTAGCTAGCTAGCCTTGGGTCACCCAGCCAACGTCAGGTATCTTAACTCAGTATTTCCTCGCACTTTCCGAATAATTCAAGTTCCTAAACACATAGAAATGAAACCTGGCATAGTCTTCCAGGTCTCAAAATATTAAACTGGCATCAGTCTAATTTGCCTTTAATTACTGCAGAATGTACAAATACTGTATCATGAAGAAAGGATCCTAAATTGGCCCCAAAAAATAAGAAACAGGAAAAAAAAAATAAACCAGAGAAGAAAAAGAGAAGACTGATGCCTTAAAGACATATTTGCTCAGTTTTAGAGTTAAATAATCCTGGCTAGTATTGTTTTTCTGAAATCTCATTCAGGGTCTTGAAAAATTCCATTCTGTTTAACTCAAATGACAAACCATGGGGCACAGATTAAATTTTTTTAAAAATATAAAAGAATGGTAATGCTCTGGATCCTCAAAATAACTATCTGTGTTTGGCATACAGTAATTTCAAAGCATTTTTCTCTTTTTATAGCTGTGAGCACAAGCCTCAGGAAGGGGTTATCGGAATTGACAATTTAAAACTTTCAAAAATATTTATGTACACGTGCCAAGTAAGAAGACTCATATAGCTTCAGGTTTAAGGTATGTCGTCAGAATATTAAATGACTTGCGCAAGTCATTGGGCATCTATCTTGACAATGAGAGATGCAAGAACACATTCCTTGTGGAAAGTTCCTATCACATTTGTCGTGCTTATTTTAGATTTAGAAAAATCACCAAAGCATTTCTAATCCAAGGGCCTGAAATTACTGGGACTTGGACGCCTCTTTCCTCTTTTATAACAAGGCTCCACGCTTTAAGGAAGAGAGCTATTTTTTCCCCGTTTGCTTAGATAGAACAATCAGCTTCATAAGAGAAGCCGAGGACCCAGAGGGAGTATTTGCTTATTTAAAATTCTTAGGTACTCTACACAATGTTTACGATTACATCTCAAAAGAATACTTCTTTAATGAATAAGAAAATTATTCAAATAATCTATAAAGAGTTATTACTCGTGAAAACAATTAACATCTTAAGCTAATGGCCACAATGGTCAAATTGTAAAATTTGTTATGTGCCTGGGTCAAAGAAAGTAGCTGACTCAAAAGTGAACTGACACAACACTGTAAACTGACTATATTTGTTT